TGAGAGATGGTCATTATGCTCTTGTATTAGTCTAGATGTAGCTTCACTATTCAAAAGAGAGAAACACAAACCATTGGTTGAATATGTTCCAATTATCTGAGAAACACATGCTAATTTTTATCAGTGAATCAGCTTTGTGAGAATATTTGGCTTGGTTAACCAATATAGATTTATGTTCATTCATGGCATTCCTACACAGATGAGCAGTATCTGAACTCGAAAGACCACTAAACTCAGCGCATGCTGAAGAATGATCAATTGTTTTACTTCAACAGTAGGTCACTCAATTCACGGTTCTCAGATTTGTAGAACAAGTTTCATTAGGCAGCTGTTTTATCTAATATTATTGAGAAATTCAACAATATTCACTTCTTGAAACTCGCAGTCTACTTGATTTGAAAGGCAATGATCTGAAATAATATTTAATTTGCATTCTATTATGAAATATTTATTACGAATGTATCACCGTTCATTGATATAAAATGATCAGTGGGTGTGGGAATTAACTACAGTCGCTTCAGGGAGCACTTTTCAGTAGTGTTAAGGTTAATGAGGTTGTGTTAGTTATTCCATAACTAATTGTAGTCATGTCATAACTAAACAATCAAATTGTGGTTCAAGCGTTCACCACGTGATCTGATCTGACGTGTCTGTAAACTTTCTCTGTTGTAAATGACCTACTAGTTGAAGGATATAATTATCTTATTATATTGCTATGACTCATATCTTGATTCATTGTCCGTACGACACGCTATATTGGTCGAAACAGATAAAGTTTAGAGCAAAGTTGGTCTTGTTCTGACTATAGCTTTCCCATAGACTCTGTGATCGCCAATATTGCGTTTACCGTCCCAGAATTATATCTGTAGGATGAATTAAATCCTACAGTTGAAACATAGAAAATCCATCACAAACGGGCTAAGGTTATGATTACACTTTCATCGTCTGATGAGTGTGTAGTATCCAATAGTTTCTGATAATTTTTTCATTCATATTTAGTAGAGAGTTGTTGCATATGATCAATTTAATTTTTGTCTAATAGGAAAAATGTTTGTGATCGTTTAAAAGATACGTTCGGTTACTTCCTTCAAAAGGATCTGAGGAAAGAATTGGGCGGAGAAAAAACATTTCGTTAACTCTGTTAGGTACTTATTCATGTCATACTGTCATCTAATCTACACAAGAATCTACATTACATCAGAAGTTTGTCAAGCTATAATCCTCTGTCCATAGTGACATTTTCAGTTTTGATTTGTAAGCTATTTCACTATGTGTGACAATCAAGAGTGATTTAACAACGTTGTAAGAAATATGTAATAAAAATGTGTTCTTAATTCATTAACAGAAATTCTGAACATGGTAAACTGAATTTTAAACAGACATTTGAAATGACTAGTAAAATGTTCGCAATATTGAGATTGGTAAATGAAATTCACTGAAAGGAGTGGTATACTCTGTATTACAATCAATACAGTCTACATTTTTCATCTGTCGGTCGTTAGATTAACACTTATTGCTCACTTTAGCATAAATCTAGAATATGAATGAGAACGTAAGCTTCTGTAAAGAACAGAGTTTCAAATTCGAGTGCGTAAATTTCATTGATATTTAATAAAGCTGTTCAACAGTGATTAGTATTGTGTGTTGACTTCAATAAAAATCCATTAACCGAAATATGATTCGACATTTTTCACTGAAGTATTCTACTTTTGCACAGTATATAGTAACAGGGAAAATAACAGTAATATTTATTTAGATCGAAAATTGTTTCATCTGGACCCTGAACGCTAAGTGGTGAATTCTTAGCCTGATGGAATCATTGGCAATAGAGTTTTATGGCTGGAGGTGACCAACACGTTTGTAGTGCAGTTGAGACCTTCTGAGTGGTGGTAGTGTCGGATGATCAGCTGTGTTACGAAGTGATAGTTGGGTAAGATCACGAGATGCTACGATGAGAGTG